AACAAAAGAAAAAAAAGCAAAAAAAAAAAAAAAGAAAATGAGCAATAAAAGAGAGGGAAAGAAGGAAAGAAAATGCCGATAAGGCAATTGAGGAAGAAGAGAGAGAGAGAGAGAAAGAAGGAAAGAAGGTGTACACCCAAGCTGTTTTGGAGGAGAGACCCAACAAGAGAGGAGGGAAGGGAGAAGGAAGACACGAAGAATGGAAACGACGATAATCCACGGAGGAGGATGCACCGGCGTGGGGTAGACACAAACCACAACACGATGTTATTGCATATGCGTGCACGAGACTGGAAGCGGGACCAAAAGAAAAAAAAAAAAAAAAAAGAAAGGGCGGGGCGGGGCGGGGCGGAAGAGAGGGAGGAAGCGACTGTAGCACCAGCAGACAGCGTCACCATCCGCAAGAACATTACATTTTCATTTATTTTTTTTTTCTACAGAAATACGAAAACACGTTCCCCTTCCCATTAACTTGGAGAACCGGTGGGAAAGATTGTTTCTCACAATAGCGCAAGAAGAGGAAAAATAGGAGAGGGGAATGGGGGGGGGGGAGGGGGTAAAGAGAGAGGGAGGGAGGGAAAGGCTGTAGTATAGTAGATCCACATGTGCCATGTGTACGCGGGTGTGCGTGTAGATACACATATATATATATACATATATGTATGTACCCGAAATTCTCTTGTTTCTCTTTTCTTTAAGAGAAGAATTATTTATGTTTTCTTAAGACTCTGCGGCTATTAATTTAAGTGCGCACCATCGCCGTTTATTTTCTCTTTTAATATATTTATTTATTTCCCGTCCATTACTTTCTCTTTCCAACCAACCAACCAACCAACCAACCCTATATCCCTCCCCCAGCGGGTCCGTTACAAGAAGAAACCGCCGGTGACAAGAAGGAGGCAGACAGACACACAGAGAGAGCGGGTTCTGTTCGATTTTTCCTTCTTTCTTTTTTGCGGGGGCAGTGGGATGGAAGCGAAGAAAAAGAAAGAAAGAAAGAGAGAAAGAAAAAAGGGAGGGGTGAATGGAATAATGAGGAGAACAAAAAAAAAAAAGAGTAACAGAAAGAAGGAAAGAGAAGGAGAGGAACAAAAATGATGGCCGAACAATACGTGCAACAAAAGCAACGCAAAGAGAAACACCATACATGCAAATATACATTCAAATATACTTACATCCAAGTGCGTTGGCATGCGACCCCCATACACTGCAGGAGTTTGGGAAGAGGAAGGAAAAAAAAAAAAAAAAAGGAAAGAAAGAAAGAAAGAAGTGGAGGAGGAAGGAGGAAAGAACACGAAAAAACGAATAAATAAATGAGAAGGAAACACACACACACACACACACGTATTCCCGAGAAGTTTATTTTTATGGCAATTGTGCTGTTGCTTGAATGTCGTTGTTTTTTCTCTTCTGTTTTTTCTTCTCGCTCCTCCTCCTCCTCCCTGTCGACGTGCACATTTCTTTTACGGAGGCGTGTGGGGGAACAAAACAAAAAAAAAAAAAAAAGGGGGGGGGGGGGGGGGGAATTTATTCTTTTGGCCTCTTTTTTGTTGTTTTTTTTTTTATGGAAGAAAAGAGGGAAGGAAACAAAACGGGAACGCCCGCAGCAGAAGAATTGGCAGAAAAGTTTTCTCTCTCTTTCTTTCTTTCTTTTTTTTTTATATTACGATCCCAATTAGCAGTTTTTTCTTTTCTTTTCTTTTTTCTGTTTTTGTGGGCCCGAGTGGGAGGGAAAAAACAAAAAAAAAAAAAAAAAAAAAAAGA